GCCATGGGGGCACACTCTGCCACAAATAACACTCAGAGTTCATGAGTGTGCTCACAAACTTACAGACAGTAATGAGTCATGTGGCAGAATGCATGTGGCAATGGGGTGCCTCCCAACTCCTGGCCCTTGGAAGTCCTTTTCTCCTTTTGTGGAGCCCCTTTGCAATTCCTTCCCCCTTCCCCCCCCCCTTAGCACTCTGCTTCACTACAAGGATTGGAGTTCTTTTATAGTCCTTAAGTGGCCTACTCTTCACCACAAAGGATCACTCTCCCTGAAGCCATCTGTCTCCCCAGGGTCGATCAGTTCTTACCTCTGCCTCTTCCACTCTAGTGGCAGCATGGAGAGACCACTAGATGGTGAAGTGGGTAGAGTGCTGGGCCTAGAGTCAGAAAGACCTGAGTTTGAATCCAGCCTCAGACACTTACTGGCAGTGTAACCCTGGGTAAATCACTTCACTTCTGTCTTGCCTCAGTTTCCTCATCTGTAAAATAAGGATTATAACAGTATCCACCTCTTAGGATTATTGTGAGGATCAAAGTGTTTAGCACAGTGCTGGCATGTAATACTCTTTATATAAATGCTCACTACTACTGCTGCTGCTGCTGCTTCTGATGCTGCTACTACCACCACCACTACCACTACTACCACTAGTACCACAACTACTACTACTACTACTACTTCTACTACTAGTGGAGCACTACCAATCCAGTGGATACCATCATCAATGCCACAGCTACAGACAAGACCTTTTGATCTTTATAAGGTTGCTGCCTGGACAGTAACAAGCACAAAGAGACAAAGGAGGCCAGATTCACACAGCTGCCATGGCAGGGTCAGTAGGGGTAGGGGGCACAGGACAGCTGCTTTTCCATCTCTTAGCTCTGGAAAGCATCTCAGAGTGGCCCTGACTCTATCAAAGCTGAAAGGAAAAGAGAGCAGTAAAGGATCGGGTTGCCTTTTTTGGTATATTCACTCAATTCTGATTTCAGAAGCTTTCTTATCACGCAGTATAAGCCCCTGCCTCACACATGACCAGAAGACAGCATAATCTGGATGAAAATTCAAGAAAGGAGACTGAGAAAGAGTAGTCTGACAGGTAGGAGGAGAGAGGGTAGAGTGTTATGGAAACCTAGAGAGAAGAGAATATCAGTAATGTCAAAGCCTGCAGAGAGGACAAGGAGAATGAGGATTAGAAAAAATTTGGCAATTAAGAAATCGTTGGTAGCTTTGGAGAGGGCATTTTCTGTTGAATGACGAGGTTGGAAGCTAGGCAGTAGAGTGAAGGAGTGAAAGGGAAGGAAGTTTGGGGGTTAAAATTCACTCAGTTCCTTCTTGGACTACTTTCTCATAAGACTTCTTCTTATGATCAATATCTTACCATGAATTTCAAAAGAGAAGACTTGGTGTGGGTTCATGGAGCCAGTCACTTCAGGTGGGGAGTCAATGATGTTATAAACCAGATTGAGTTTGGTTATCACCCTTATTCCATTTCCAAGGAAGGTTTTAGATTTTATTCTTCCCACTTTCTTAAAGGGAAAGGTCTGGAACTGGCCTTAGGTTAGAGAAAAATAGTGCTTAATATTTCTAGAGAAACTAAAAAGAGAATTTTTTAATATGCTTTGTCATATCCTTGGGGAGAGTGGTCACAGATTTAGAATACATTAGTCATGAGGCACATATGTAGGGAATACGTGTAGGGAAGGCATTCACTTCTCTGACACTGCAGTGCCTCAGTGTCATTTCTTTACTCATGAGGTTTGAGAGTTAGAGGGAAAAGCATAACCTTTTTTTTTCTTAAGCAGAGACTGAAGGTGGGAACCACAACTCAGAAAGCTCTGAGAGATACAGACACAGACAGAGACAGAGAAAGAACATTTTTTAAAGTTAGTAATCTCCCACAGTGCATATGCAGAACACATGCCTATAGATGCATAGCTCTGAAATTTTTCCTTTTGAATCCAATATGGGGAAACTGAATAATGGCAACTTGGTGTAATTTACCTGAGGGTATCTTTTGATACTATATACTGTGGCAGTTTCGGCTTCTAGCCTTGCCCTTGGTGCTCAAAGACCTTTTATTCCTATATTCTTAAGAACTGATGCTCAGACCCGGACGTACTACCGCTTATAGTGGACCACCTTTCACCTCCAAACACCACAATCAAACTCATTGTTTATTATGATACAGTAACATCTCATTACATTAATTACCACAATTTTCAACCATTAACAAATCTCATCTCCTCAGCACCCTCTGCCCCTAGAACCCCTCCCTCATTCTGATTGGAGAGAGTTCCTCCCCAGTCCTCCACTATTTAAGAAAGGTTTTCAGGGAATTCACCTCATTATTTCCTACCCCGATGCTTTCCTTGGACTTCACAATCTTCAGAAATTCATCATTCTGCAAGATGATATCATCTCTGATTGATCATTTTCTTCCCTGGTTACAGGTCTTCTTTATGTCCTTGTAATAGGAAATTTCCCTTCCCAACACTTAGTACAGTGCCTGACACATAGTGAGTGCTTATAAATGTTTGATAACAGTAATAATAATGGCTAACATTTATATAGCACTTGCTATGTGCCAGGCTCTGTGCTATGCACTTTACAGTTATCTCATTTAATTCTCACAATAACCCTGGGAGGTAGTTGCTATTATTATCCCCATTTTACAGATAGGGAAATGAGGCAAATAGAGGGCAAGTGGCTTGCCCAGGGTTACATAGTAATGAGTGCCTGAGGCTGGATTTGAATTAAAATCTTCCTGACTCCAGGCCCAGCACTCTACACTGTGCCAGCTAATTGCTTGTTTATTGAATATCATGCAGTAAGAAATGGGGAAATAGGTGATTTCAAAGAGACTTGTGTGAACAGTTAAGAGTGTTAACAGGCAGAAACAGGAGAGCAATTTCTATTATAACATCAATATTATGAAAACAACCAAATTTTAAAAACCTTTATAAACTGATAAAGAATGAAATAAGCTGAATTGGAGTAGCAAACAAGATCCCAGACAAATCGAAAGCAAAAAGAGACCTAATTAAAAGGGATAATCCTCTTTAAATTCTTAATGGAAGGGAAACTACATTTTACTAAAAAGCATCATAGACAATGAAGTAATATAAAAAAATTTTACAGTAAGTTTCTCTGATGAAGACCTCATTTCTCAAATATATACTGAGTATAAAACTGAATCAAATTTATAAAAATAAGAGCCATTCCCCAATTTATAAATAGTTAAAGGATATGAACAAGCAGTTTTCAGAAGAGGAAATCAAAGCTACATATAGTCATATGGAAAAAATACTCTATATGTGACCCTGGGCAAGTCACTTAACCCCAATTGCCTAAAATAAAATAAAATAAAATAAAAAATACTCTAAATCACTATTGATTAGAGAAATGCAAATTAAAACAACTCTGAGGTACCACCTCACACTTATCAAAATAACAAATGCTGGAGGGGATGAAGGGAAAATAGGTACACTGATGAATTGTTAGTGGAGTAGTGAACTGGTTTAAACATTCTGAGAAACCACTTGGAGCTAGGATCAAAGGCTGTGAAACTATGGCCTTTGACCCAACAATACCACTACTAGGTCTGTATCCCAAAGAGATCAAAGGAAAAGGGAAAGGACCTCTACATACAAAATATTTATAGCAGCTCTTTTTGTGGTGGCAAAGAATTGGAAATCGAGGGGGATGCTCATCAGTTGGGGAAAGACTGAACAAGTTGTGATATGTGATTGTGATGAAGTACTATTGTGCTTTAGGAAATGCTTTGGGTGGTTTCAGAAAAACATGGCAAGACTTTTGTGAACTTATGCAGAGTGAAGTGAGAAGGAGATCATTATGCCCAGTAACAGCAACATCGTGATGATGATCAATTGTGAAAGACTTGGTTACTCTGATCACTACAATGATCCAAGACAATTCCAAAAGACTCATGATGAAAAAAATGCTGTCCACCTCCAGAGAGAGAACTGATGAGCTCTGAGTGCAAATTGAAGTATAATTTTCTTGCTTTTTTTTTTTTTTTGCAATATGGCTAATAATAAAAATGCATTTTGCATGATTTCATATGTATAAGTGATACCATATTACTTGCTTTCTCAGTGGGTGGGAGAGGAAATGGAAGGGAGGGAAAGAATTTGAAACTCGAAATTTAAAAAGAAAAGAATTAAAATAAATAATAAAAATGTTTAAAGTTGGTTATTACATGTAATTGGAAAAAATAAAATATATCATTTTTCACTTAAAAAAATAACTTCTGCACCCCCAGCCTACTTCCCGTCAGCCAACTCAAAATTTGGAGTTTTGCAAGAGTTCCTGTTTCTCTCGAATGAAGAACTTACTACCCACCCCCCCACACACAATCTTTGAAACCTCTTCCCCCACCATTGTAACTATTGAATTCCCTTTCCCCACCCCTCTATCCAAAGTTCAAGGCAATGATCAGGTAACTGTCCCAGGAAGGAGGGAGGGGCCTCAGCTCTTCTGGGTGGATCTGAAGTTCAGACAACTGCAGATACAGAGCAGGACACTTTAAGTCAGGTATTGTTTCTTTCCTGGGGCTGTCAGGGCAGTTAATTAGCCTGTGCCTTCCTATCCTTGATCCCCACTTCTCTCCTCTGGTCATTCTTCAGCCTGAGGAGGGAGGAACCTAGGACTTTGATCTGGAACAAAAAGACCTTTCTCTCTTAGCCTCCATCTTTCACACAGTACAGCTCTAGAGGACTGAGTGAGAAGGATTGGTAGCCAAAGCTGAGGCTACTGCTGAGTACCTTCTCCCTATATGCCCGACAAATGCTTCATCTTCTCAGCCCGTCGAGAAATAGGAAGGGGCGCTGTTATCTTCTAATACTTTTTTTTAACCAATTTCGTATCCCCTTTTTTTTAGCAACAACGATAGCAACTGTTTCTATCTGAATCTGAACGAATATAAGAGGAGAATGAGAAAAATAGCAGGAGCAGTAACAGCAGCACCTGGGGTCGTTTTATATAGCACTTTAACATCTGCAAGAAACTTGTCCTCAGAGGAATCCAGAAAAGCTCCCCTCCTCACTCTCACATCCTTTTTTCCCTTCCCTTTTCCTTTTCCATCCCCCTCTCCCAGAAGTTTTGATGGACTAAAAGAAGAAGAATTGTTGAGGGGTGGTATTATGGAGAGTTTAAGGGGACTGAGTTAATTGGGAAGGGGTGAATCATAGGATCCTAGTCTTTAGAGTGAGAAGGAACCTCAGAATTAGACCAGTGCATTGATTTTATACATAAGGAAGCCAAGAACCTGATATTGGTGAAGATCAACGCCCTCTGATTTGAATTGGCACTGTTCCACCAGCCTACAGGAAGACAGTGCCCAAAGGGTAAAGGGCAATCGGTTCATCTTTATATTTTTGCCCTGGGTCTAGGTGAGGGATATTTATCCCCTGCCACTGAAAATTCAGGTGATATTTAACCAAGATTTATCAAGCCTCAGAGTACTAGAGATTCAAAGTTGAGAAATATAGTCCCTTCCCTGAAGAAATTTTCAAACTAACAGGTAAGGATATTTACACAGAAAGTCTGGTGTATATTGCAATGCATACATTAGGTTATGTCGTAGGGATGAATTTCAGGGATGTGTGGGTCTAGGACAACTGTTTCCCAATAATGTTTTTGGTCAACAGAGATTCCTGTGTGTGGACAGAGGGAAGAGTGGAATTTTCTATTAGTCTCTGGGTGACATTAAAGAGTCATGGCTTTGAGCAGTGGTAGCATGTCAAAGAAGAGAAAATCAGGTCACACACTGACACGGTATTACCAACCGTGCCAGCTTCGTAATTTGTAGAAACATTAGTATCTCATGCCAAGGAACACAATGAAAGCCACTCAGAGGGATAAATGTCAGACTGTTTCACTGACCCTGTCCTACTCTTTTCTGCTTTCTGTCTGTTATAGACATGTGGCTCTACCTGGCCTGCCTCATTGGCCTTTACCACCTCTTTCGCTGGTATCAGGAGAGGCAGGTGGTGAGTAACCTTGGAGACAAATATGTTTTTATCACTGGCTGTGACTCTGGATTTGGGAACCTGCTGGCCAAGCAGCTGGACCTTCGAGGTATGAGGGTGCTGGCAGCCTGTCTGACAGAGAAAGGGGCCGAGCAGCTGAGGCGTGGGACTTCAGACAGAGTAGAGACAGTGATCCTGGATGTAACCAAAACTGAGAACATCACCGCAGCTGCCCAGTGGGTGAAGGAACGTGTGGGAAATAAAGGTATAATCCAGATTTCTTCATTCAGTTTGTTTCTGGGGAGAAATTCAGTTTGACATTTGTAAAGCACCTACTATGTACAAAGTACTGTACTAGGTAAAATAAGGTTGTTTTTTCTTTTAATGAACTTTTACAGTGTCATATGGAGATTATATGTACTCAGATAATTTATAATATAAAGGACAGTAAGATAGTTCAAAGGAGAGAATCAAAATCTCTATGGGAAATTTTTAAGAGGCTGCAATCATTTTTAGCTAGGGTAGCCACATGAGTCTTCATAGAGAAGGAAAGATTTCAACAGGCAGATGTGGGGAAGGAGGGAGTCCATTTCAGGTATGGATGGGGGAGCAGTGGTGTGAGTTGAGCAGATGAATGGAAATGGTAGGGTGAGAATGGAGACTCTCGGTGGTCAAGATGAGCAGAAGAGTTGAGCAGAAATGTGAGAGACAAGACTGTGTAGAAGTTTGAATGCCAGGATTAGCAGTTTATAATTATTCTGTAGGCAATGGGGAGCCACTGAAGATTTTTAATCAGAGGAGTAAGATGTTGCTTTGGGAAGGGAAAGCTCGAAGGGAGGCTTCTTTTGAGGCTATTTTTTGATAGTTCACGTAAAAAAGGATATGTTTTTGAGCTAGACGTGGTAGCAGAGGAAAGGAGGAAACATATCCAAGAGATAGACCCTATTCAGATTACTAGGATGATTTCCAGTATGTTCTAGATTTTCACTTTACTTTCTGTATTAATTCACTTCTAGAAGTTGGAAAGTACAGAAAATTCAAGTTACTCCTGAATTTGGGCAGTGGTAGCAAGTCAAAGAACAGAAAACCAGGTCACATTAAGCCAGCTCTTGAACTGATAGTATCTTATGTAAATTTGCCATCTGGCAAATGCTTGAGTGCCTACTGTTTAATCTTAACTTGGGCCTGTTTTTTTTGAACCTAGCGCTTAGAAGCTTGCATTTACACTGATGGTTTATCTTTTCTGATACTCCACTCCTGTGGAAAATTATTCTTCTGTCACAAGTGTACCTCTCAACACCTTACAATCTAATGGGAGAGTCAACAGATATGTACGAATATGTAAAGCAAACAAATATGGACAAACTTCCTTCAAGGATTCCTTCCCTGACCAATCTTATGTAGTTCCTTTCCCTGGTCATTCCCCTCCCCCTGCCCCCCTCCCTCCTCGTAAACTGTCCCTTCCATATCAAATATTGGATGAATGACATGCACTTCTGTACCCCAGCTTCCTCCCTTCCAGACAACTCAGAATGGGGGGGGAGGTGTGGGGTAGGGGACAGGGAAGGCAATTAACACAACTACTGTCTTCCATCAGTAAGCCTTTACATGCATCTCAACAACAATAACCTTCATCAGGAGATGGGTAGCATGTTTCATTATTAGTCCTCTGGAATCATGGCTGGTCATTGAACTGATCTGAGTTCCCAAGTCTTTCAAGGCTGTTTGTCATTATAATATTGTTGTCACAGTTACAAACTTGTTCTTCTGGTTCTGCTCACTTCACTGTGTGTGAGTTCATACAAGTCTTTTGAGGTTTGTCTGAAACCATTTTTTTTGTCATTTCCTACAGTACAATAGTATTCCATCACATGTACATACCATATAGCTTGTTATCCTTTTCCAATTGGTGGGTGCCCCTTCAGATTCAATTATTTTCTGTCTCAGAAAAAAAAGCTGCTATAAATATAATTTTTTAATTCCTTAGAGTTTGTTTTGCTTAGGACTAATCTCTCTCTTAATCTACCTTCCCTCTAATTCCTCTTTCTCCTTCTCCCATTTCCCTGTTATTTCCCTGTTGGGTGAAGTCTATTTCTATGCCCAACTCTATGAGTGTGTGTGTATTCTTCCCTTCTTTGACCAGTTCAGATAAGAGGATGGTTTAAGTACATGTCTCCTTGTTTGTATAGACTTCTGCTTTTGTACCCTGATTATGTGTGGACTACAGTGGGGAGAGACAAGGCAAGGATACCATTGAGGAGGTCATTGCAATAGTATGGGTGAGATGAGGACTTGAGCTAAGATGGTGACTGTATAAGTAGAGAGAGAGAAGGAGTTGGAGGTCAGAAATGTTGTAAAGACAGAACTAGTTGTATATGTTGTTGTTATTTGTCCTTCATTCTCAAAAAGGACTATGACATCAGGGAGGTGATGCCATGACATGCAAGTGAATTGGATTTAAGTGAGGGAGGGCTGTGCAAGGTCACTAGCCTCACTTTCTCCTCCTGAGCCATCTGGGACCAGTGGCAACATATAGATCAGAATGACTGGAGATGGCCCTGGATGTAGTAGGAGATCTTGGCCTTTTCAATCTAAGGTCTTTAACAGGTCTCAGTTTGACTGAGGCAAGGCCCATTCTGTGATTAAGACTAGATAAGAAATGAGGCAGAGAATGGCCTTTCTTACCTAGTCTTACCTAGTCAAGTCCTTCAGGGTTTCCGCAAAATACAAACAATTGCTATTTACATTCACTCTGAGCCAATCAGGGCCCAAACAATGACCAAGTGGGGTTTGGCCTGGGGCCTATTGTTGGCCAATTAATGAGAGCCAGAGTGATTTGGGTTTAAGGCATGGTCCTTAAGAAAAAATATGTGCCCAGGCAGCTAGGTGGTACAGTGAATAGAGCACCGGACTTGAAGTCAGGAGGACCCGAGTTCAAATTTGGCCTCAGACCAAACACTTGACACTTAGTAGCTGTGTGCCCCTGGGCAAGTCACTTAACCCCAATTGCCTAAAAGAAGAAAAAGAAAAAATATGTGCAATGAAGAGAGTGAATAGTCCAAGATGATGAGGAAGTTATCTCAAAATGGGGGAAAGTTCAGAAGAGGGGCAGGTTTGGAGGAAAGGAGTTTTGTTTTGGACAAAATGAGTTTGAGATTCCTCTGGGATATCCAATTTATTGAATATTAATAGTATATTTTTAGGCACAAGGCTGCCAGAACAATTTTTTGTTAGTTTGTTATTATTCTAAATTTAAACATTGTCTGTGTGAGAAAGAGAGAGAGAGAGAGAGAGAGAGAGAGAGAGAGAGAGAGAGAGAGAGAGAGAGAGAGAGAGAGAGAGAGAGAGAGATCTAAATTGACAGTCTCCCTCATGCCCTTGGACATGTCTCTAATACAAGATGTTTTCAAATGACATTTATAGGCATCTTGAACAAGAATAATTTCACAAGAAGATATAGTTTAATATTCTACTTCAGCTAATAAATAGTTATTTCATCTTTAAAGAATATCTTTGGCCTTATCATTATTAGGGGGTCATAGAAGGAGTCTAAGTAGACAAAAGACTTGGGAGTGGTTCTGTTGTGTTTTAATGATCTTAAGAAGAAGAATTTAAAGAGAGGCAAAGAAGAGTCCGCTGGTTAGGGGTGGGGGGACAGAAAGGAAGTTTGGGGAAAATCATCTCAAATAACATCTCATATAATCATCTCATGTAGGTAAGTAAATGAAAGTCAAGGAGGGAGAGGTAGTGGGAACAGGTCACCTTTGAACCTCCATTCATCTGAACTGGTCAAAGAAGGGAAGAATACACACGCACACACAGAATTGGGTACAAAAATATATTTTACTCAACAGAGAAATAAGAGGGAAAAGGGAGGAGGGGAGGGAGAGTAGATTAAGAGAGGGATTAGTCCTAAGCAAAACAAACTAAGAATTTTCAAAAAGATTTAGAGCAGCTCTTTTTAAGGCAGCAAAGAATTGTAATCTGAAGGGTACCCACCAGATGGGGAGGCGCTGAGCAAGTCACGGCATGTGAATGTGATGGAATACTGTTGTGCTGTAAGAAAGGATGAAGTTGGATTACTTACTGATGAAGTTTCTTTCCTTCAAGTGAGTCTGGAAGGAGTTTAGACTGGAGAACTATTTATTTCTTAATACTTTCATTTGAATTTTTAAGAAGAGGGAGGGAAAGAAGAGGAGATGAGGGAGAAAAGAGATGAGAGAGAGAAAGAAAGGAAGAGAGGAGAGCCCAAGACAGAGTCTTGAGGTACAGTCACAATCAAGGAGAATGGCGTGGATGACGAATTAACAAAGGAAACAAAGTGTTCCTAAAACCCTAGGAGGAGAGACTGTGTAGTGGGAGGAAACAATGGTACTAGGTCAACAGTATCCAGTGATGCAGAGAAGACAAGCAGAATGAGGGCTGAGAAAAGACCAATGGCAATTAGAGATCGCTGGTAGCTTTGGAGAGAGAAATTTCAGCTGAGTGATAGGGTACGAATCTAACTCGCAAAGGGTTGAGTAGTGATTGAGAGCAAAAGTGGAGTCCATGAGTATAGACATCTTTTTCTAGGAGTTTGGATGAGAAAAGGAGAGATATATAGTCAAGGAGTGTGTTTGTGTGTGTGTATGTGTGTGTGTGTATGTGTTTGTGTGTGTGTGTGTTTTAAAGGATGGAAGAGACTTGCACATGTCTGAAAGTAGTTTGAGAGGTTGAAGATTAGAGAAAGAGAAGTCCTAACCCTTTATTTTACAGATGAGGAAAAAGAGACCTAGAGATTTCAAGTGACTTACCCAAGGTCACACAGCTAGAAAGTGTCAGAGATGGGATTGGAACACAACTCTCCTAAGTCTTGAGTTGAGACTTTCTGTACTCTGTCACATGGCCTCTCTTTCTATTGTGTCATATTTAGAGGATCCTGTCTGTGTGGGGCAGGAGAGAGGAGGGCACCTAATGCTTTTTTGTTAAATAATTATGTATTTGTTCTAAAAAAGTTTTATTGAAACCTCTTTTTTAATGCCAGTCATTTCCCAATATAGCACCCCACAAGGATAGAGCCCTCCCTTTTTAAAAAAAGTTAATTTAATTTTTAATTTATGTAATAAAACAAGCATTTCTATGACATAGTACATTAAAAATACGATTGCACATGAAACTGCAAATCTGCTATTCACAACTTGCTATTCCTTTCAAATATACAACAAAATTATGATATAAATTTCTTTTATTTCCTTTTTTCTTCCCTCCCCCCCACCCTAGAGATGACCAATATTAGACACAAATAGGTGTGTGTGTGTGTGTGTGTGTGTGTGTGTGTGTGTGTGTGTGTGTATAAAACTGTTCTATATATACTTCTATCTATTGGGTCTTTCTCTGGACTCAAATAGCATCTTTCTTCATATGTCCTTTATAGTTAATTTGGGTATTTGTAATAGTCAAAATAATTTATTCACTCAAAGTCATTCTTAAAACAATATTGCTCTTACTGTATACAATGTTCTCTTGGTTCTGCTCATTTTGCTCTTCATTATTTCTTGCAAGTCTTTCCATGTTTTTCTAAAATGATCAAGTTCATCATTTTTTTGCTTTTTGACGAGGCAATCAGAGTTAAGTGACTTGCCCAGGGTCACACAACTACTATCTGTGTCTGAGGTGGGATTTGAACTCAGGTCCTCCTGACTCCAAGGATGGAGCACTGTCCACTGCACCACCTAGCTGCCCCAAGTTCATCATTTCTTATAGCACAGTAGAGAACCCTGCCTTATAACAAAGACAACAAAAAATTAAGCAAAAGCAGCTGACGTAGCAACCACGTTAGACAGTACGAGTGACATTCGATATTCCTTCCTCTACCACCTCTCTACTGAGAGAAGGGAAGTGTAGTCCCTCATCTCTTCTCTGCAACTATATTGGTCATGAAGTACAATAAGTTTAGGAGGGCCTGGCCAGGCTAGGGAAGAGAGTTTAGAGGCACCCTAGGAAGTGAAAAGCCAGATTTATGTGTAAAACTAATTTGCTCACTAATCCCAATCAGTCCCTCTTACTTAACTCCCACATTTAAAAGTCTACCACCCTGGGGTTAGTGTTCTCCTTCAAACCTAACCCGAATGTGATCCACTTGTTTCTCTAGTCACTCCATGCCGGACCCATCTGTTTCTCTAACAAATGAAATCTGACCCTCAGTCAGGACCTCAATGTACTCAACTTTTTTATGGAGCCTCCCCTAGTTAACCCCTCCCCTTCATGACTTTGTGCTTGCTTCCGAATTTCCATAGTACTTCTGGGTAGATCCCATTCCATACTACCACATACTTTCCTCAGAACTATTTTCTGCGGAAGCATTTTTAAGAAGAGGCAACCGACCTGTCGTGTGACCATGGACAAGTCTGTATACTTCTCTGGGTCTCGATTTCCTTGTCTGCAAAATGAGGTGGTTACAGATGATGACTCCTAAGGATTCTTTCAGGCTTATGATTTCAAGTTTTGTCCTTCCTACCTACAATGTAAGCTCCTAGAACATGAGTGAACTGTTTCCTCCCACTAGGAGCCTAGAAAAATGCCAGTGATTGACTCAACAAATCTGAACGGAATTGAATTTGAATCAAGACAGTGACATACTTGCTAAAACCTCAGTAGAGCCCTACTTAGAACTTCCCACTCTTCCCAGGTCTCTGGGGCCTTGTAAATAATGCAGGCATCTCCTTGCCCTCTGCCCCCAATGAATGGCTGAACAAGAGGACTTCCTGAAAGTGATCAATGTGAACCTCATTGGACTGATTGAAGTGACACTGAGTCTGCTGTCCCTGGTGAAGAAGGCCAAGGGCAGGATCGTCAACGTCTCCAGTGTCATGGGCCGGGTGTCTCTCTTCGGTGGTGGCTACTGCATTTCTAAGTATGGTGTAGAGGCTTTCTCTGACAGTCTCAGGTAATGGGATCACCCTCGGGCCCTTTCTCCCACTTGTAACATTCATGAAGGATCTCACCACCTCCCAAGCTGGTGTTAACTGGTGCATGTGGCCTGTTGAGGTTACGGTTAACACTTCTTTATCACTTCCTCCTCCATACTCCCACCCCAAGCCCTTGTACCATCCCCTTCATCCTAGTTACCCTCCAGCTGCTTTCCCCTGCCTGTCACCATAAAAATGACGATAATGTTAATAATCATATTTTTATGCCTTTAAGATTTTCAAAGTACTTTCCTCATAACAGCCCTGTAAGGTAGGCATTACAAGTATTATTGCCCCCATTTTACAGATGATGCACTGAGGCTCTGAGAGGTTGTGACTGGCCCACGCTCACATTCCCCTTATACTAACTACCTCCTAGGGCTGTGGTGAGGAACCTAGAAAGATCATGTATGCCAAAGAGCCTGGAGCATACATGAGCTCTACAGGGCAGGGAAAGGGCATTATTATTGTTATATTCTCCCTTAACTTCTGCTCCATCCCATCCCTTCCTGTTCTGTACAAGGCTGTTCTTGATTGTCCAACTCCCAGCCTCTTCTTCCAGGCCCTGCTTCATCGTGCTTCTGTTCTGTCTTTACCATAGGCGGGAACTCTACCACTTTGGATTGAAGATTGCCGTGATTGAGCCTGGTTTCTTCAAGACCAACATCACCAACGAGGACCTTTTCTACCAGAGCTACCAAGAGTTGTGGGATCGAATGGACCCTGAAGTCAGGCGATGCTATGGCCAGAAGTTCTTGGAAGCCTGTGAGTCGTCCCCTCCCATGAACTCCCCTGGTCTAGTTGGAGGAGAGGCAGAGGGAGAGCTCTGATCCGAATCAGACATTACACTCCTCCACACCAGTAAGCCCCATGTATTCAGGGTCCAAAGGAACTGAGCCAGATGAATCCAGAAGAAATAAGACAGGGGGACCTAAATTAGGAATATCAGAGGCATCTTAGAAACCATGCAATCCAACCCCCATCAGTTTTACAGATGGGGAAATTGAGGCCCTAAGAGATTAGGTGACTCACCCAAGGTCACACCACTAATTAGGGACAGAGCGAGGATTAGAATATAGGACTCCTGACCTCTTGTATACCACACAGAACTGCCTCAATTAGTCAACAAGCATTTATTAAACACCTACTGTGTGCCAGGGACTATACTAAGGGGAGTAGAGAAGGGAATAAGCATTTACATAACACCTACTATTTACCAGCTCTGTACTAAGAAGTTTTTTGTTTTTACAAATATTTGATTCTCACAACAGCCCTGCAAGGTAATAGCTAATAGCTAACATGTATATATCATTTACCATGTGCCAGGCACTGTGCTAAGTACTTTATCATTATTATCTCATTTGATTCCTCACAACATGGCTGGGAGGTGGGTGCTATTGTAATTTTCATTTTACAATTGAGGAGACTGAGGCAAGCAGAGGTTAAGTAACTAGCCCAGGCTTGCATAGCTAGTAAGTGTATGAGACCAAGTTTGAACCCCTGACTTCCTGACTCTAGGCCAGGGGTGGGGAACCTGTAGCACTCTAGGTCCTCAAGTGCAGCCCCTTTGAATTCAGACTTCACAGAACGAATAAGTTTAGATTCGGTCAAAGGGCAGCACTTGAGGACCTAGAGGGCCATGTGAGACCTCCCGGCCACAGGTTCCCCACCCCTGCTCTAGGCCCATTTCTTTATCCACTATGCCACCAGCTGCCTCTGATGTAGCCAAGGATTAGACTGGGAACTCCTTAAGATCAGGGACTGTCTTTTACCATTCTTTGTATCCCCAGTACTTAGCACAGTATGCAGCATATATTAGGTGCTTAATAAATGTTTATTGACTGACTAAGCCCTGGGGCTACAAGGACAAAAACCTGAAACCAAACCCTCTGCTCTGGAGCTCCTTTCCTATTCTCTGGTTGCACAGAGGAGCTAAATATGAGACGCGTAGAATGTGTCTTGTAGGTGAATGGTCTTGTAGATAAATAGGCTGAATCCTGAGGGCCACACTTGAGGACCTAGAGGGCCTCATCTAGAGTCAAGACCGCAGGTTCCCCCACCCCTGGACTCTGGAGGATTCAGGGTTCATTTCTGAGCTTGGGTCGGGGAGGGGATGGACAGAGTCAAACAAGCGATGGTCTTAGGGGGTGACCTCTGCCAACCCAAAGAACTACTAGGCCTTTGCTACCTTACCCCAAAGGTCATGCTGCAGCAGAGGTAGGGGTAGGGCAGAGTGTGCGTGTTCGGTATGATGCAAGCAGAGTTAACCTTGTGCCCTTCATTACTCTACTCCTACAGTTATGCAGTCTACTCACGAAATACAGGATCACTGCCAGTCAGACCTCTCCTTGGTGACCAACTGTATGGAGCATGCCTTGACCTCTTGTCATCCACGTACCCGTTACTCACCCGGCTGGGATGCCACGTTGTTTTTTATTCCCATGTCCTATTTGCCCACTAGACTAGTAGATACCCTTTTTTTGTGGAAGTTTCCCAAACCTGCCTATACTATATGATGCCATGGGGAGAGGGAAGGAGTAGCAAATGATAAGGCAAGATAAAAAGCAGTTCATATAGTACAGAATTTGGTGTACAATGGAGACAGAACATAGAGCAGAGAAGGGGCCTGGAGAGAATCCAATCCCATAAACATTTCTTGGGCACCTATTATGTACAAGGTTCTGTGCTAGGCGCTGGTGGGAATCTGAAGACGACTAAGACCTTATTCCTACCTTCAGTAATAATAATAATAATAATAATAATAATAATAAAGTGGCATTTATATAGCACTGTAAGGTTTGCAAAATACAAACATTATCTCATTTGATCCTCACAACAAGCCTGGGAGGTAGATTCTATTATTATCCCCATTTTACAGATGAGGAAGCTGAGGTTAGGTGATTTGCCCAAGACCACACAACTAACAAAGCATCTGAGGCTGGATTTGAATTCAGGTCTTCCTGACTCAAAGCCCAGCACTTGATCCCCTAAGCCATCTAGCAGCCTTAGGGAGCTTAGTGGAATGAAAAGGTAAAGACACAAACCACCGTGAAATAAGGCAGAATGGTTGTCGTGGAATCACAGAGAAGGAGAAAGCCATGGATGTACCCAGAAGAGAAACCACAAGTTTCCAGAGAAGCTTTGGCCCAGCAGGCTGGGATGACCTATCTAGAACAGACCGATGCCTGCCTCTGTCAGTCCTTCCCATGAAGAAAGCGTTGTCTCTTTTTCCTTCTCTTTGTCCACTCTCTTCCTCGGGGACCTTATCTGCTTGGAGGGGCTGTTGTCATCTCTGTACAGCTGACTCACAGTCCTCAGTGACCAGCTCTAATCTCTCACATTGCCAATTCACGGGATGGTCCACTGGCATCTCAAATTCAGCATATCTAAAATGGAACGAATCACCTTGCTGCTCCCCGAAGCCAGATCTCTGAACTTCGTGTGGTGTCTTGCACGTAGTAGGTGCTTAATAAATGTTGAGTGATTGGCTGATTGATTGGAACTTCCCTATCTGTGACTGCACCACCACGACCACCACCACCACCCAGGTTCCAAGCTTCAGAATCAATTAGACATCTAGAACTGAGTGTCCCATGTTGTTTTGTTGTTCAGTTGTTTTTCAGTAGTGTCTGACTCTTTGTGACATAAATGTCAGAATTTATATTATTCTTTAAGGTTTGCAAAGCATTTTTTAACTGATATTATTTAGCCCATGGCTCAGGGACCCCTATAAACTTTAATTCAGACAGACTGGATTCATTCATGGGGGTTAGCCCCAGGCCCACCACCCCCACCTCCACCACCAAGAAAATGGTGATTCTGTCACCTTCCCCAAGCACTGAAGAGCTCATTCATATTCAGTCCAGGATTTCTTCTTCTGCTCCAGGGCTTCCCCAGTCCTGGCAGAGACTGGACCAGACCCAGGCCCCAACCACTGCCTGGAGATTTGAGCCTTGAGGGAAAACTTTGAACAGTCTAATCATCTGCCTCCCTTAATGGATATCTCTCCAACTACAGCAGGAGTAGGGAATCTGTGGCCTCAAGGCCACATGTGGCCCTCTAGATCCTCAAGTGCATCCCTTTAACTGACTCCAAACTTTACAGAAAGTAAAAGGGCCACCCTTGAGGACCTAGAGGGCCACATGTGGCCATGAGGTCCCAGGGTCCACACCCCTGAACCATAGATCCTCTTTCCGGACAGTCCAGTGACTCTAAATCCTTGGCTGCCTATGTACAAACCCTTTTCCCCATCTCCAATGATCTACTTCTTTATTCCCATCCTCCCTCTATTCTGTTCTCCCCCTCTCCTTCCACATTCATATAACATCCCACTCCAGACCTTCCTGGACCCTACTGAGTCCTCTGGGATCCCTGCTCCATAATTAGCAAACTTCCTTTCATTTTAAACCTGTTCCTTTCTCATTCCTTCTTATCTTATGGCAATCATTGAGACTTAGCCCCCTTCTGATGGCAATCCTTGCCCACCCTTGCCAATACTGGTTTCATTTTGACTAATGTCCTCAGACTCATTGGTTGGATAGTTGGAATACTCCTTGCTCACCATTGCCACTTTCAAATTCTCCCTCATCAACCTCCCCTCCTTTGAGGTTCATGCTGTCTATATTTGTCAGAGTCTAGTAGCCTTTATCTACTGACCACTCCCCACCCCCACCCAGGATATTTCTTTTACTTCCTGGCTCACAGTCTTCCTGTCCTTGACTATCCTGGCCCTGGGAAACTTTAACATACATGTTGATGCTGCCCTCAACTCCCTTAATTTCCAAGTTCTTCCATCTCATGAACTACTCTTCCACTCTACCTCAGCTATACACAGGGATAGTCATACCCTTAAGTCTAATATCACCCACAAATGTCCCAATCAATTTTCTATTTATTCCACTACTACGGAAGCTATTCCAAACCTTTTTTCTTCTCACCACCCCTCCCCCAACGTAGCAATCCTTTCACCCACTCACCTGAGGGCTTTGCCTCATACTTCAACAAAAAATAGCTGAAGCCATTACCAAGACCTCTCCTTTTGCCCCTTCTCACTCATCCAATGTCCCTCTGACATTCTCCCCATCTGTCCTGTAGATGTCTCAAATTCAACATGTCTAAAATGGAACTTATCTTCTCTTCAATCACCAATTACCTTGAGGTAAGCCCTGGTCACTGGGCTTTAGCAAGGAACCAGTGCATATGCCTACCATGGGAGTGGATGGAGTGGAGGAGGTATACTTCTCAGATACTTCCAAACAAAGGGCACCATTTCCTATAATTTCATCAAGTTGATTGAAGAAACTCACAACAATTCAGTGAGGTTTAATTATTCCCATTTAACAGATAAGAAAACTGAGGCTCACAGAGGTTAAGTGACTTACCCATGGCCACAAAGCTATTCTTAGAGATGGTCTTCCTGATTCCGTGTCCTTCATTCATTCTACTTGCTACACTATGCTGCTAATATCATAAATCACTATTTTTTATTTGTTATGACCAAATGATATACAACTTTTAATCAAATTAACTCAAAATGGCACTGCATCAAGTCACCTTTCAAAAATATTATACTTTCATTATCCTCTGTGACAAGGATTAAAGAGGGTTCGTGATAACAGGCATTTATAAATAACTGGCATTTCTTTCTTTCTTTCTTTCTTTTTTTATTACTAGGCAATGGGGTTAAGTGACTTGCCCAAGGTTGCATAGCTAGTAAGTGTTAAGTGTCTAAGGCCAGATTTGAACTCTGGTCCTCCTGACTCCAGGGTCAGTGCTCTATCCACTTCACTACCTCATATAACTGGCATTTTTAAGGGTTAAGGTTGGCATAGGGTCCCTAACAGCTACCTTTGGAATCTTTCCAGTTTGGGATTCCAGACGATTAACAATGACGCTCCAAACCCCCACCCATCAAGTATCTTCCTTCATTTTCTTTTTAGAATTTTTTTTATTCTGAACTTAAACACCAGATAAAATTAATATCTCCATTTACAGAGTGGAATACAGAAGATAATACATGAAACTACAAACCTCTTTTGCAAAGTTTGCTTTTCTTTTTAAAATACATAACAAATTCAACCTGTAACTTTCAAAGCTATCTTGTTTATCTGTGTGAATCTCCTCTTTTAGATTAGTCAAAATTTATCCCATGACCTCATATTATAGTGAGAATAAAAACAATTGTAGCAGAAAGCACCGCTATACCAAAAATACATCAGATAATGTGAAGTGCATGATATGTAACCACAATTACTATCTCAAATCTCTTCTTCCCATGATTCTCATTCTGACTCTCAGCACTTAAGTAAATAGGGCTACAAGTCCTCAGTCTCTAACTATAATAGTATAACTATATTATGTATATTATATGCATGTGATATAATAGAATGTAATAGAAATATAATAGGTGTATCAAGACTTGCCACGTTTGCTTCATCCTAATACCTGGGCTAGTGATGTCTCCCACAGGCCTTGCTTTACATGAAAGGCAAATCTCAGGTTCTGAGTGGTGTTGAGGTAGTAACATCACACTTGATGTCAATAGGAGGGTCTAAGCTCCACTGGGCTACCATCAGCCCTCTAATTTATCATAATCAGGCCTGGGAGATAATCGACAATTACAATGCCATGGTAAGATGGGTCACAACTCAAGGGATGATGGCCATCCTTTTTCTCCCCTGCTTCTATCTCCTTACTGTTTTCTCTTTTAGCCTTGGCACTTCTCATTCTTGGCCATGTCACTCTTCTATCAACCAACTCCAATCTACAGCCTCTAGGATCAAATATCAAATCCCTTCTTTGATGTTCAAAGCCCTTCATAACATTTTCCCCAGCCCCTTACCTTTCCAATCTTCATACATACATTCTTTACTTGAGTGACACTGGTCTTTCACAAGATACTCCATCTCTTGACTCTGGGCATTTTCACTGGCTGTCCTCCAAGCCTGAAAAGCTCTCTCTACTCAATTCCACCGCCTAGCTTCCCTGACTTCCTTCAAAACCCAGCTACCTCCTGCAATTCAGTGAAACCTCAGGGCTGTGCCTATTCACATATATTTCTTCCAAGTAAACATTCCAAGTATCATTATTCCTATTTAAAAATGAGGAAACTGAGGCTCAGAGATATTAAATGATTTGCTGGGGATCACACAGCTAGTAAAGTATCAGAGGCAGGTCTTATCTGATTCCAACACTCTTTCTACTGTACTCGGCTGCCCTTAAACAGAATGGTACTGAAGAATGGGATCTGAAGGGTGAAGGTATTCCCAGGAGAAAGAGTTGGTCAGGGGAAAGAAGAGAGGCTTTGAAAGAGGAAATAGCATGGCCCTCAAAATTGATTTCACTTTTATGAGATTTTGGGGGGGTCATGTACTTAAAAGCATTGTATAACATCCCCTTGTGGATGCATGCTGGAGGGGTCCTTCCCCTCCCTGCTCCCTGCTTCAGAACAAGCGCAGGTATCCATTGACTACTCCATCTCTTCCACCAGGACATTTCTAATTGGCTGCTGACTATCCACGCATAAGAGACAACCCCCTGCCCCTGTATCCTCTCCTTGCTGTTGGCCTTGAGGTTTAAAGCTGTCTCTCTGAGTTCTGGATGTCACATGGACTCTTTTCTTTCAAGTGGTTTCCCAGGGGGTTTTTTTTCCCCCCTGAAGGCTGGTCCTGCTTCTTGGTCTGTTTCTGCTGCTGTTGCTGTGGTTGCTGATATCCAGCTCCTCAAGAGCCCGGGGAAGATGCCAGCTGCCTTTTGAGATCTTACAAAGTGCTGTACTAAAGGAAAGAGG